TTCCACATAAAAGGAACTTATAGGTGCAGATATAGAGGACCAGTTAAATGCGAAATCAAAAATTGTGAAAGCGGTGAAGAAAATTTGATAAGAAATGGATTGCTTGAAGCTACCTTCTGCGCTGCGCTTGGAGGAATCTTGATTTGGTAGAGTCCGCGATAAGAATTGATACGAGTCGATTTTATCGATTGTACCCTTGTAGAGAATTAGCTGGGATCTGGCCGTATCCTGTCCTTTTTGCAGATTGTCCCAATACCGTAGTAGTTCGGGACCATGTATGAACAAGGCCTAAAGCCGCATCATACTTTGTATGTTGAGCGGTGGTTCAACCGCGTGAGTGTCGTGCGGCTCTAACCAACCGCAGTCCAACTAACAGTGATGGAGCGCAATCTGTATATTCTCATCTTCACGACAGAAGATAGAAGATTGCTTTAAGCACACTTTTTTGTCAAGTAAAACCAAAATCTCATTGCTTGTCTCACTACTTCACGCCGACTACACATACAGAAAATGATTTTTTTTCCTTTCAGTTCTGGCGACCAATCACAGCTCTGCTGTTTTATCCCGTCTCGCCACAAACCGGTTTTCACTGGCTTTTGATGCTATACTTCTTGTATAACTACTCGAAAAATCTTGAAACTGGTGTTTTCTCTGGACGACCTGCAGATTACCTGTACATGTTGATATTTAACTGGTTGATTTGTACGGTGGGTTTTTCAACTTTCAATTCCTTGACATTTTGGTGCGGATGTTGATAGGAAATTTTGATTACCTATCGTTGTAACCTGGGTTGTACGCTTTGGGATGAGCTTTTTCTTTCGCGTTACACAAACATTTGCTTATGAATTATTTCGCGCACAACGGTGAGGGGCATGAACGCTCTCAAGGTATGAACGATGCCTGAGCGTCTGGAGCGCGTCATACCCGTTTGCGGAGGGAGGTGCGTGCGGTTTATTTATACATCTTTTTAGGGAATATGTATGGCCGCAGGAGTATACTTCTTGTTGGAACCAATGGTCTTGAGTGTCCTGTATGTTTGGTGTCAACTGAATAAAGACACAATTGTGTCGTTTTGGTTTGGAACTACGTTCAAGGTGAGCGGTTTTTTCAGTCATGGCGGTGGCGCTTCTGGTATCAAGTGTGCTTTGCATCGCTGAACATACTTTTTGGTGAACATACTGAAGAGAAACAGCCAGTTTTTGATGATACCCACAGGCAGAGAGGCGAGTTATTTTGGACTGATTTTCGGCAGTGATTCTCAACTTGCTGACAAATGTCTAAGAAGCTTCAAAACAGTCTCTGTAGGGGGCGCGGGGAATTTGTGACTAAAAAGTAGCAAGTTGACAGCCAAACCGCAGGTGCTGAATACCTTAGAACGCGGTTGCCCTGTTCATACCGTTGAGGTGAAGGTGGGGAAGCTGAGAGCTGGAGGCGAGTGATTTGTGGGATGCGGCGGGCTCCGGATCTCCTCCCTCATGGGCTTGCCCCACATAACCGGCTGTGAAGCTAAAAAATTGTAGGGCTGGGGAAATGAGGTGGAGCTCTTGTAAGTAGAGGACTTTTCTGGAATTTTTATCGGTTATAAGCGCTTAACGACTCGAGGTGGGGAAGGGGGTACCTGTCCAGCTCTGAGTGTTTTTTGTTTTTGTTTTTTCTTTTTCTTTTCAAAACTCGTGTCTCAACATGGATGGTCTCTGTTATTGCTGTTAACTTTGGGAAGATGATAGTCGCTGGAACGACCATTTCGTCCCATTTTTTTTTCACTCGACATTTTGAACGATTTGAGGGGAGTTTACAGGGCGCTTGACAGGTGTGGCAAGGTTGTTTGGTGTTCTCTTGTAAACAGTTTTCAGAATTTAGTAGCTAACATATGCATGCCCCGGGTAATCCCTGATAAGGTTATAAAGAGCGGCTATAAGGGTTTTTTGTCTTCCACTTCCAGGGACAAAAACGCAAGTGAGGGAGGGAGTGATCGCAGGCGCGGATTAGGTTGAATTAGAGTTCGTTTTGATTCGTAAAACGTGCAGCTCGTTTCAGAATAGGGAGTGTTTGGCCCAATGAAACTATTAAATTTTTTCAGGCAATGTATCTTCCGTGGATTTTGTGTGCTTTCAACGCTGTTCTTCGCGGTGGTGGAATGAACGAGCTTCTGGGAATCCTTGTCGGCCACACCTACTACTTTCTTGCGTTCGACTATCCGTTACAACATGGAGGAGCTTCCTTCTTGCAAACACCACAATTTCTCTATAACTTCCTCCCCAATGAAGAGGGTGGTGTTCATGGATTTGGAGCAGAACGAGTAAATCAACGTCGTGCTGGTGGTGCTCAAGGTGGTGGCAGGTATTTCTGGGGTCGAGGGCAACAGCTGGGTGGAGAATGAAAAGGGTGCTATAAGTATAAGCGTGTAACGTATCTCTGATTAGAGTATTTGCAGCTGGTTTTTCTTGTGATTTGCCGCTTTTTAGGCGTTTCCTCCCATAATTTATTGTGATGGTGTTTGAAAATTTCCTTTCCTATATATGTAGCTGTACATTTGATGTAAATAAAACTTACGCATATTATTTGTCTTCTTGAGATTGTGGTCTCACCGCGTAGTACATTTAATTCCCTTCACTTTCTTTATTTTGGTACCTCATTTCATCCGAAAAGTACGTACCAGTTCTCCTTAGGTAACCATGCAGAACGACGCTGGTGAAACTGTGGAGCTATATGTTCCCCGCAAATGGTGAGTCGTTCAGATTTGGCTGTTTGTAGCTGAGTTATAGCGTCATATGTCTTGGGAGGGGCTAGCCGGTGTCGTGGGGTGAGCGCCCTCTCGCGCAGGAAGCATGAATTGACATTATATTGTGAGAATATGACATGGCTAGGGATCGCTGATGAGTAGCTCCTCCCAAAGCGCATAACTCCCTCATGATTTGTCTCGGTTGATAGCAGGTATGAAAAAAAATGAATTTTTAGCTCATCGTCCAACCGCCTGATTGGCCCTAAGGATCACTCATCAATCCAACTCGATATCGTCGATGTTGACCCCATCACAGGCCGCATGGTGAGTTCCGCTCTGTTTTCTCCTCTCCTTTTTCACTTTTCTTCGAGATTCGACTTGTAGGTTGCTGGAAAATCGACTCGTTATGCCATTTGTGGTGCTCTGCGCCGTCAAGGCGAATCCGATGACGCCTTGTTGAGGCTGGCTCAAAGAGATGGGATCATTCCCAAGAACCTCTGATTTGTTGTTATGAATTACGTTGAAAAAAGTTTGTTTTTCGTTAGTCTACGCTCAAGCACTCATATCAAAGGAAGAGACACTTCATATTAAAGACAAACTCCGCGACTGCATATTGTGGATAGTGGCGTTCAGTTACAAAGTTACAGTCGCTCGATGTCCCCCGAGAGAATGAAAAAGCAGAAAAATAGAAAGAAAAAGGGGAACACCTTAAATTGGGACCTGACAGCCTCTCCGTATGAGATGTCCTAACCTGCTGCTTTTGGCACGGTTATATCTTGTGGCTCACTAATTCCTTCGCACCGTCAATGCTGGTACCATCTAACAGTGAAAAAAAGCGAAAATCTGTGTAAAAACTGAATTCGTGGTAGAAAATAGCATTTGAGTTTCGGGACGACAAGGGAGGCGTCATAACCGCCACTTATGAAGGCCGCAGCTCCTTCGTGAAGCTACGAAAGTGGGATAATTTATCGAATGAGGACCAGACCAAGAATAGACGCCCATGCATGGTTGAGCGCGAGGGCTGAGGATTGGGTGCCATGGGCAGGCTGCAGAACAGAAGTTCAGGTGTCATTGGTGGAATGGCATCGGACCATGTTCCTCAGGTACTGAAGTTTATAGCCCCAAATTCTTTGCATCGATAACGCTTAAACTTCTACCGTGCCTCCTTGCCAACCAGCCAACGTACCCACTGCTTATGCCTTCTTGCTGTTTACTTTGTTGCTCTTGCTACTTTCACCGTTTTGTTTCGCAGACAGTGAGTACGTGATTTGGTTAAGATAGATCCACTAAAGTATAGTGAAAAGAATAGTTTATTTGAATCACATAGGTTCTCTAGGACATAGTCATCTCTATAATCTGTACAGCAAGATGCCGAATTGTGATATCTGGCGTGGCAAGGATGAGCTTTTTCACCGAGTCGATCACCTGAGGTAGAAGACGAGCGGCATTTTCCATGGAGAGAATCGTCTCGATAGGGACGAGACATATTTGACGATATGCTAGCAGTTGGAGTGTGTCATGATCTGGCTGAAATGAAGCCTATTGAGAGGAACGAAGTCATCCAGCTTTCAGAAGAGTCTGTCCCACCTCTGATTCATCCTTTCTCTCCTCCATTATTCCATTTTTGAACGG